ATTATTAACACAGGTTAGATTACCTATTTTGGGATTCAGATCTAGGACTAAAACCTCTTTAAGGCCACACGAGAACTTTGGGTAAGTAGAATCATCTCCGCATACCATTTGCTTTATATCTTTCATTTCCTTATTGTAGGCCTTCTTTTGGTTACTAGTATACATATTTATGTACACATCTTCATCCTGCATGGTAGATATATATGATTATTTCCTCACCTTGCTGCTTGCTTTCTTTCGCCTGCTTTCTTGCTTATCACTCACAGTACTGGGGCATCTGAAGAACATAGGTAGAGCTGCGGTAGATGTATATCCCTACATAGCTGCTACATACATTCCTAGGACACACACAGAGAGAAAAGGTTGAAATCCACTGTCTCCAACAAAATTACCAAGTAAGCTCGTTCCATCCTTATATAACTATAATTTCAAGCCTCTATATGGTTTTGGGGTACCCTCCTGTAGGGTTGTATATAGTCTGCTGAAAAATATATATATAGAATTAGTTACCAGTTTTAAATATACTAAAGAATGATAAATAACTACTGTTGCTTAGAAAATACAATAAAAAAAATATATGTGTAAACTTACTTGTAAACGCCAAGGGGTACCACTCGGACGTACAACATTAGAATTTATATAGTTTGTTTATTAAAAGATACATTTGCTCTCAACTACAAGAATTCAATTCAACCCATCCCTACTCTCCGACAGATTTTAGTTGTTAGTGGTTCATTTGAGCTAGCCAGAACCAAAAGGCAACCCAATACCTTTACCACATTATAGACCCTATTCAGCAGGTTGTAAAAAGGGTTTATCAATCGTAATAAAGTATCATCTGGCCTGTCGAGTACGGTTCCTGGATACAGGCCGAATAAGTCAAGATAATGCCAAAACTGCGGGACGTCCCTGTCTTGATGCAACTATGGACAAATTTAACAAAGTGAAATCTCATATTGCAACAACTGACGAGAGCATGTACAATATAACAGATTTGGTTAAAATTACAGGTAATTTCCAATAATTTCTTATCGCACTATGAGTACAAGACCACCATAACTCAAAATTTATGCTGGCGGCATCTACAGGTCTTCTTCGTAGTCCAAACAACTGAGATCCGTTTGTTTCGAAGACAACTGGGCTGAAATTCGATGAGAAACTGACACATTTCATGGGTCTAAAAAATACGACTTTTTGTTCCTCCGTTTGCGCGAAAAATATCAATCTGGCGAAAAAAATCATAAGGACCATTTTTGTAGTAATTCAGATGATCTTCATTTCTTATCTGAACAAAAAATCTTTAAATTGCATATTTTGGAAGATAATAGCGGAAAACCTCTTTTCAGGACCTTTAGGCCCCATTTTCCCCTACAGAGGTCTGGTTCAGCTCCAGGCCAATTGGGCATTTGAAAGTACGCTAACAGACCTACAAATCCCACCCAATAAGAAAATTGTAGGAATTATCTGCAGCTTTTGTGCTTTTTGAGCCTTCATTTCCTGGACTAAAAACTAAATTATTTATTTGATAATAATTTTTTGTAGTTTAACAAAAATAACTAGGTTACTTCAATTTTTTTTTAAATATTAATTTCTCAATAAATTCCACGGTAACCTATATATTTTATTGTAAGAAACAAAACCTAAATATTTCAAAAACCTTATTTTTAGTTTTTTTCTACTCCATCTAATCAATAAATAATAGTATAATTCGAGAATTGTTGTTGAGGTCTTACTTTCTAGTAAGACACTGTACAAAAACTCACATTTTAAAAAAAAAAATTCTCAAAAATTTGCACGGTAAGGTATAGTTAAAAGTTTACTATAAGATAAATAAGGACTATTAGAAAAAAAATAAATTTTAGTCATAATCTAATATTTTTTATTTAACATTGGTGGCGAAAGGGGTGACGAAAGGACCTCCTTAAAAAAATGTGTTTACCATATAAAATTCACCACCCTGTCTCTCCTTTAAGAACGGACTTAAAAAAAAAAGTCTAATTTATAGTTCTAAATAGATCGCTTGTAAATCGATTTGGCATCCAAACCATGCAGCTATTAATTATTGTTGAGTCGCCGCTATGATATAAACTATAAATACTTGTGATTATAACCAAACTTTATTGACCACAAACCACTTATGGTTAGTTTCGGCTATTGAATCATTCAGATTCCGTGCCATAATTTTTTTTTTATTTGTTATCTAGACCTCCCAATATCGTTTTTAAGTAGGTACCTAAATAGTTTTTCCTTAGTGGTTAGATAAAAAAAATTAGCTATATAATTTTTCGTAATGTCTACTAGCTTCCTAGATAACAGAGCGACGTTTATTAAACGTAATTCTTTGGTCAGATTTATAACCCACATGATTGTTGCAATGGCGTCATATAATCGTAAAATGACGTGTATGTTATCAGAGCGTGGTTTTGGTCAACGGAATAAAGTGAACTTATCACTTTAACTTCTATGTTATAGAAGAAAACAAACGGCTTGTGACAGCAACTCAACAAAAATATGTGTCGTCATCGGCACAGTCATACGACCTTAAGAATGTCAAAAGTGCCTTGACATGGAACACAAAACTAAACGAATGCAGAAGTGGTGCGTTCGCAATCCTCCACAATTCTGCATACATTTAACTTTTCTTTAAAACACTCACATTTTGTTAAACTCAATTATTTTGTGCATATATCCAGCTTCCTGTTCATTTGATTCAATATATATAATCTTTAATAAAGTGGTGTTTCATGTCAATGTACTTTGTGCAAAGATTATCTTAAGTCGATGACATTTTTATGTACAATTGATTATCTTCAAAAACATTAATTGAACCTATTTCAGTATTTAAAATTTCTAACAACATTTGTAATAAGAACAAATATTCTGAAATACAAGCTGCAAGTGCAATGTATTCAGATTCTGCACTTGAGAGTGATACAATAGCCTGTTTTTTGGTTTTTCAATAAATAGTATAGTTATTTATTTTATTATAAATCCGGTAATACTACGTCGATCATTGGGGTTATTTGCAAAGTCAGAAGCTGCATAAGAATTAATCTCAATATTTTTTTCTCTATCTTAAATTTTAATCCAACAATTTTTGTCTACTTCAAATACTTTAAAATAGCTTTCAAGTATCCCTAATATTCTCTAGTGTAACAGTTTTGAAATTGACTGAAATATGTAATACTATAACTTAAGTCTAGTCGAGTGCCTACTATGATGTACATTTATGAACCAATTAATTCCCGATAAGGCAATTTCTCATCACATACTTCATTTACAATTAATTTAAATTTTGGTTGCATAGGAACTTTTGAAATTTTACATTCAGACATTTCAAATTTTTGCAAAATTTTTTCTATTAAATCTTTTTAGGTTATGTTAACTTCATTTTTACATTTTTTAATTTCCAAACATAAAATACAATAAATTATATATAAATGACAAGATGTATACAGTAGAACAGTATGTAATGGTAAACAAGATGACAAAAAAACAGGAAATAATGAGGACACTTCAAAAAACTAGCAGATAATATAGGGAAAAGAAAGAAAATGAAGGAAACGACTTGGCAAAGAACTGGACAAGAAACAGAAAAAGTCATGAAAATAAAGCAGAGAATACTGAAAGAAAAAAAAGTTAGAGAAAAGATAAATAAAAATAAAAAAAAATGCAGAAATAAAGTGAAAATAAGTACCTGGAATGTTAGAACAATATTAGAACCTGGAAAATTACAAGAAATACGAAAATAACTTATAATAGAAATGGTATAAATGGTGTAGCAATTCAGAAAATAAGATGGAAAGGCATTAAAAAAAAGGATTTACGTTGCATTATTCTGAACACGAAAAACAGGGACAGTATGGGGTGGGATTTCTGATTCTAGGCGATTTACAAGAAAAAACAATAGAATTTAACATAATAAATGAAAGAATAGCCTATCTACGAGTAAAAACAAAATCCTTCAATATATCATTGCATAATATATACGCGCCTACGTGAAACACCAAACCAGAGGAGAAAGAGACTTTACACGATAAAGTAGAAGAAGAAATAGAAAAAATTCCAAATAAAATGTAATGATAGTGCTTGGAGATTTTAATGCAAAAATAGGCAAATAAGATCATATAGTGCAAATAACGGACAAAGATTATGTAACCTAGCAGCTCAAGCAAATAAGATCACAACCTCGACAACATATAAGCAGCCCAAAATGCATAAAGTGACTTGGATATCACCAGATGAGAAACATACAACCAAATTGATCACGTACTCATCACATTTGGAGGAGCATGTGCATATTCCGATCGTTACATGGTCACTGCTTAACACAATGCAACACAAATGGGATGTATGTCAATTAAACAATGATAAAGTAAGAAATTAATGGGATTGATCCTCCTAAAATATGGATCTAGAGAGCGAACAGCGGCTTAGCCCCACTAGTGGCGTTTTTTGGCCACATTATATATATAAAAATATTAGTTTCCTATTATTTTCAATCTCTGTTATTTTAAAACGTTTAGATAACTCATTTTTAACAAAAATAAGTTCGTCTAGTGATTTAGCAAATAAAATGATATCATCAACATATACTAATAAATAAATTTGTCTTGTAAAATACAAACAAGGATTCTTTTTGGATCTTTTAAACCCCAGATGTGATAACGTCTGATCTAGTAATTTATTCCAGCACTTAGATGCTTAGTAATTTATTCCAGCACTTAGATGCTTAGTGATTTTTTTACCAAACAAATTAAATTTGGGTTATGCCCAATTATTCCTTCAGGCTGATACATATAAATTGGTTTTTCCAATGATCTATGAAGAAAGGCAGACTTAATATCTAATTGATTTACATAGAGATCTTAGTGAACATATAGTGATAAAAAAAGTCTAACAGTATAATACGTGCTACAGGTGGATACACACTTTCACTTAGAACTGTTCTGAAAACCTCGTGCAACTAACCGAGCTTTTTTCACTTTCACAATATTTTTTCTTTTCCTCAAAAAACCCATGTAGAGTCTATTACTTTTCAATTTTTCGGTTTTTCCACATTTTCCCATGTATTATTTTCATTAACTCCTCTTCAATTGCCATTCTCCAGTCTACAATTTTAACAGCTTTGTTGTAGTTAGATGGTAGATCAGAAGGCAAACAACCTACAGATAAAGCTGTTATAAAACGCATATCAAAGTCCTGATATTTTAATGGCTGTTTAGATTGTCTTTTACTGTTTCTGGTTTCTTCTTCATTATCATCACCTTCATTTTGATTTTCTTCAGTTTCTGTACTATTCTCAGGATCTACTCTGTCTTCTTTGTTTTTGTCATTACCATTATTTAATATTATTGTTGTAGACATTTCATCTTTTATTAAAAATTACATTTCTGCTTTTAACGACTAATAGAAATTTCTCTCGGTGTAATGAATATTTTATTCCATTAGATATTCAAGAAAAACATCGAGGCATGTCGGATTTGATTTCCAATCGAAGTGATTTTCCGGCCCTTTTGGGAGTGGCTTAATATTTCCTAGAAATTAACTAGAACACAATAGAACCAATAGCCAATTCCTCTATTACTTACTCTATTACGGACATTATCCTCGACGCGATGCACAAAGAATACAATAATGGTAGTTTGTAGTTAATATTTGAAATAAGGTGCCCGTCAGATTTCCAAGAAACGCCGAGTTATATTATTATCGAATTATGGGTTCGATGATGATGCAAATTTGAACGAATTAATATTCAATTAATTTAGTATCATTGAAACTGGCTTACTGATTACTGTGTCCATTGGTTGAAGTAGAATATATTTTTTAAAAAGTTATTCAGTTTTAATTATTTATTTACATACCAAGAGTAGTGATTTTAATTTACAATATATAATTTTGAATATTTTGGAATAAAATATATTGCTTTTGACTTTAATATTTTTTATTTAATCAAAAAACTGACAACTGTATAAAAAATCTCTTACAATCTAGTTAGACACATAGTCAACGAATGTAAATAAAAATAGATAGATACAATTAGCGCTACATACTCAACACTCTCCCTCAGTGATGATTTTTGTAAATTTATCAAGAATCTATTTATAAGGTTCCTTGCCAATTGGCTTCGTTAGCATATCTGCTATGTTTTCTCTAGTTGAGACATACTGAATGTCTATTGTATTGTCCACATACATACTGCGTCAGGGTAACATGTAATTTGTTCTGAAACAACATAAAACCCAGCAAACATTTTGGTGTAATTTGACGTCGATACTACCTAAATTATATATAATAAATTTGGTCGCAAAATTAGATTTAACCATAATTAAGTAAAATTTACGTTGGCTCGACGTGGATTCGACATAAGTGGAGAATAAGAGAAAAAGAAACATTTGTTGCACTTTTTTCAGAGGTTAATTTTTTCTTGATTTTCCCGTTGGTATTACAAAAAAAATAATAAAATCTGTGAATTGTGTCATTTAGTATACTTTATGACGAGTAAGTTATATAATTTGGAAGTAAAATTAGTGTTAATTTTAACCGGTAGATGAAAAAAATATACTGGCTTGAATTCTAATCTAAAAAATATTGTTTTTTGATTAATGTTTTTATTGAAATAAAATGACATTGGAAGATTTCTAAAATGCAAATATACCGCCTAAGACATAAGTTTTACATATGATAATATAAATTTTGCTCTGAATTATACCGCTTTGAAAATATTATCGGTTGTTTTAGTCCGGGCGTACTTTCAACGCTAATTTTTAGTGCTGCTGTAAATAAGTATTTTCTTTTCAGAGCAAAATGAGTAAAAAATGGTCTTATAAGCAGTTAGAAAGCATTAGATATGAGGAATTTAACAATTTGTTTGCACTTGATGATAGTCAAGCTGAAAAAAACGTAGTTGTGCTTATTGCAGTACTAAAAAAAAGTTAAACGTACAAAACTTGCTTGCTCTGAATTTAACGTAGGTTTATGCATTTCATTTTTTCAGCCGTTTCATAATAAATAAATTATAATATATTTTGTGTTTTCTTTGTTTAAAATTAGTGTTTATTGTTTATTAAATAAAATTTGTAAATATAAACAGTGGTTTCTATTGAGACCACCGAATTATAATATTCCTTCGGTCATCTTAAAAAGGCAGTGGTCCCAGTAGGGACCACCCCTTAGAGAAACAATTTTGAAAAAAATTTGCAAAATTTCCTTGTCAAACAACCGATATGAACGGTTTTTTATTAAATTTAAACAAAAAAATTATAATATTAAAAAAAAGTTTTGCGACTTAAAGGGTTAAAAATAATATCTGCATCGTTTAAGCAGAATCCAACAAACCATTTATTGTACTGCAATCAAGTTGTTTAACAAATTGCCAGACCATATTAAAGAATTGTCGATAAACAAATTTAAAAAAACAACAAAACATATTTCACTAGAAGAAGCTTTTTATAATTACAATGATTTATTTCAATGTGATTTTAACAAATACGTGTGATGTAATGTGTTCTGTTTATTTGTAATTTTATTTTATAGAATGTGTGTATATTATGTAATAATACTAATAACTGTTATTTTGTATCATAAAATATTAAAACATTTATTTATGACAACCTTAAATGTAATTTGTACTTGTTTGGGCAACAAATATTATTTTTATTCAGTAATCGATATGTTTTTCCCTTTCAATTTATTGCTCTTTCTTTAAACTTCTTGTTTTGTTAGATTTGACACTAGTTTTAGTATTACTGGTTTGTTTTCTTGACCTTTTCCAATAATGTAGATATTGTTTTTTATCTTTGACAGTTAGTTGTAGTTCCAAGTTGGTGTTTAACAGTTTAACCGTACCTATAGTTTAGCAACTCTCAAAAAATCACCATTTTTATGCAATTATCTTGATAAAAGCAGTTGCTTATTAAAATTGTAAGTAACTCGACCAAGAAATCTACCGAATTTTTAAAACTGTTAGTCATGTCATAAAAATCCGTTAGAAGCTACCCTCTAACGGATGCTGTACTGTGAATTTTCACTAAAGTACTTATCCAATACAATAACTGGCTATTTTACTGGCTTTTTTACAACAGAAACAAGTTCATTTAAAACTGATTACAATCCGTTTTGTTGTTTAACATTTACACCGGCCGTTTAATGTCCATTTTTGGCTTGGGACACAATCGGCTCACAGAAAACGCAAGAAATTATGATGGGAAACAATTAATAAATCGTCGTTGGCTGATGGACTGACTATGACGGAGGCCGAGTATGCCAAAAGAGACGTGCAGATCTTCAATCATCGTGTGTGGTGGTTGTTGTGGTTGGCGAACCGACTGGGGCATGCCACAAATTCCGAGGATATTGCTCAATTGTTTCGTATGTTTTTTCATGTCGTGTAAATGCTCGACAAGTCGTCGAGGATATTTGATCCGAATGGGCAATATTAAAAATACAGAGTGCAAATGAAAATTACGTGATATATACATACGAGGGTTTATTCCCATGACTCAGCCTTCGAAAAAACCTGTGAAAATGGTATATTTTAAATTATTCTCTAATGTCTTAAATACATAATAAATAAAAACAAACATAGTTAAATTTATCGATTACTTCATGATATGTTTTTTACATGAACACGACAACCTTTAATAAAACATTTCTCACTTTATAAAAACTATTCCAACTAAACAATACTTTCATATTTCCTACCCTGTCATTCCCCCTAATTAAGAGTACAATTTAAAATGTATCGAACAAGATTAAATAACAAATTTTCACGATGTCCCTACAGCTTTGGCTCGAAGCATTCAAATGACACTATTGCAGGTTTTCTTTGAAAGATTTTCACGATATCTGAACCTATTCGTGATCCTGAAACGTGGATATCAATCTACGTTGTTTAACACCGCTAAAAATAGTAACATATTCGATCAATTCTTCTGATTGGGGAAATAATAAAGAACTAGGCCAGACTTTGCATGACCCGAAGCCATAATCGTTACCCAGGAAAAGAACGTTGTAAAAACCTTGAGTAATCATTTTTCGAGTGATTTGCTATTGCTGGTGTCGACAACAATAAAAATGCTATTTCTCATCATAACATATATTCCCAAGAATGACTTGCAAAATAAAATTTATAAAACAGAATACCGAATAGTTACTTAAACAGTTACATTGACTTTAGACAATTGTATATTGAACCTTCTTTATACCTTTTAAATTTTGAGGTTATGCTGCATATCAAAATCAGTAAAATTTTACTTTATTTCTGATGTTGCTATAAAGAAAAAATATAAGCTGTTAATAGTAAAAAAGCGGAAGCTACCTAGGAATTATCTATAACGCAGTTTAGACATAATATACGATCCACTATATTACCAGTAATAGTTGCTCAAAATGTCCGCTTGCTCCTTCAAGGCAAGCTTTTGATTATACGATAAAATATTCCCTGCGCTTTTCTTATTTGATCACATTAAGCCCCTGTTCGTTGCCTTAGTTCTTCTTCGGTGTTGACTGGCGTTTTAAAAATAAGTTTAAATGAATTTAAATGGACGTAAAAGAAAAAACTAAAAGACTCAAATCTGGTGATCTTGGTGGTCATACATTTGAGCCCAAGCGACCAATCCAGTCCTTCAATAATTCTGATCTAGAAATAATTGACGTGCTAGTAAGTTAAAGTGAGGCAGAGCTCTATCGTGCATGAACCACATAACTCAATTCAGGTAACTCAAATTCTAAAAGATGACACTATTTTTTACCATTCAATCTCGAAGAAGGTAAATAATGAGGTAATCACCTACAGATACCAAGAACCTCGACTATATTACTTAGTAGGAAAGTATTTCGATGTTCCAAGGGGGAGTATGTGTCCCCTATGTCTTCTCCCATAATTACGCCACTATTTTATTTATCAGTAACATTAGTGGCATCCCTGATAAAAGAGCTTTAAAAAGTATAACGAGAAATTTTTAAACACGATCTAAGGAATGAATTCAACGATATATATGAAATAATTAAATGTATGCGTATATAAGAGGATTGTACAGCGATTCAGAAACTATTAGATGATAAAGCTGTACGTGTCTTAGATAATAGTATCAAAGAAATTAAAGTATAGAATGCAACATTGGAAGAAATCACTACAGAATTGACGGAAGAGGAAATCTTTAAGGAAGGTATCATTAAGTTTAAAGCAGAGTGCAAATACGTGATGCAGAATATTAACCCCGCAGGGGGTAGAAATTATAATTACTTGTAACTACTTTGAAAGTGATGCCCCCCACTGTCCCGAGTTACCTGGCAGTAGGTTTAAAATGCCGTATCCCCTGCGATAAAGGGAGAATTGCAGTAACCCCAGAAACGTGTCGCTGTCTGGAGAGCGCCAGAGCATGTCTGGAGCAGACGCTGGACATGACAGCATGCGAACCGTCGGTAACAGGGTATTGAGGAGGCGGGCCCCTATCACACAAGAAGCAACAGTCCAACAACAACTATGAGAAGTGGAAGCAATACATTGGGCAGAAGAACAAGAAGCCCGACTAACTGCAGGCTTGTCCACCGTAAGGAGGACTGCCCGTAGGAGACCTTGCACTGAACGAATTAAGTGGAGTTGCGATATCTCAAATGAAGACTAAGATAAGAGCCGGTGGAATTTTTAAGTTGACAATTCTATTATTATGTGGTGGGGCACCGTCCCGTTGCCAGAACATGGTTGCACAGTCGGTCGCCAAGCGGAATGTCTTCTAGCAGCTGGGGAAGATAGGTTTAAAGAAAATGTAAATACCTTGCCCCATTTAACGTGCCATCAAAAAA